AGTCTTTTAAGCTCTAAAGTATGTGATTCCAAGGGGTAAAATTTCCGTGAAATGTGGCAGCTCTATTGCACATGATAGGAATAAAAGGATGATAACTGCTTTGGCTTTCCACTATAATTTGTCCTGAAACTCCCAAATTATTTACATAACAAGAAAGAAAGTGAGAATTTTGACAGGGCATGAAACAAACAAAAAGAATAGTGGAAGGGACATCATCTTAACTAGATTAAAGATACAAAGTAAAGAAATATACTTAAACATGTGTCATAGTTACCTCTGGATGACAAAACACAGTCTTATTTTCTTACCCTGTCTTTTAAAATAAGAACATAATACTTCATAGGGGTGTCCAACTTGTGGCCTGGGCCTATGCCAATTTTGTGAGGACCTTTTTTGCTCATCTGTATGTAGTGTGGGATATCAGTAAAAGCATGCAGAGACCTTTTTCTGCTAATTAGCCTTGTGTAGTGTTTATGTGTTTAATGTATGCCCCAAGACAACTCTTAATGCTTCTGATGTATAGCAGACAAAAAAAGGCTGGACAGCCCTGCTTCATAAGGAAAAAGATTTGTTTGGGTAGCTATTCTATAAGGAAATAATCAATAGTAATGAATGCTCATGACTAATGGATTTAGAACTTAGTTAAGATATTGATTTTTGCAATGTTGACTTCAGTTGAATACAGAGATGCATGAAGATCAGGATGTATAATGAAAAGAATATTGATCTTGAACTCTGAAAGTGTAAGTTCAAATTATCCATGCTGACCTAGTCATGTGATCCTGGGTAAGTCCCTTACCTTCTTCTTAAAAAGGAGAGTAGTATCTATTTTGCCTACTGACAAAGCTGTTCCATTAATCATGCAATATAACATTTGAGAAAGAAAAATTTTAAGAATAATATTTTAATCTGACGGTAAATACTACTTGGCCTTAAGAAAATGAAAACTAGAGATGTATAAGAAATAACTCTGAAACTTTAAAAAAATTGTTTGGTTCATTTTCCAGATCTACAGATGAATACAAAATACATGTCCGTTTATGGAAGCTGCCTTCTTTTCCCCTCTTCCCTATAGATGTAGTTTCTTTTTTTTCTTCATTATTTATTTCAAAATCCTAAGGGTATGTAAATATTTTTGGTTATGTGTATCACTTTTGATGCTTGCATCACAGCTATAGTTTCTAAAGGTAGTCCCTCCTTCTTTCTTTGTACATTACTTAACTCATTTAAAATGTTTATCAATCATTAGAGCAGCTCAGTCTTAAGAGATCATCCACTGGCTCTATCCCTAACCTCCAAATCTGAATTAATAAGAAGTCATCTCAACTTAAATAAAGACGACTGGAATTATGATTTAAAATATGGGGCTCTTCAGTTCAAACACCTGAGTTCAAATTCCAGCTGTGTCATTTTTTAGTTATTTGATCTAGACAAGTGGCCTGAGCTTTCTGTGCTTCTTTATTTATTCCTTTGCAAGTTGAGTTATTACCTCACTTATAGGATTCACAAGAGGATGGAATAATATTGTAAAAATCTCAGAGTCATGTCTAGTTTACACTACACTAAATAAATATGAGCAATTATTTAGACTGATGATGATGATTAAAGATGAGTATCTGACAAGCAATTAAAAACCAATTCATTTTATTCTAAGAGATACCTATTCTCTATATGCCCAGCTTTTAAAACACCATTCACCTTTCAAGTGAAGGCTGAAATCCCTCCTCCTCATGATACCTACTCACTCTCTCACATATTTTTTTGTTACAGTTTTTATCTACTTTTTAAACTGTTGTTTTTCTTACTTTATGTATTACATCATGCTTTGTATTTACATATTTTATATCCCCTACTAGATTCCTTAACCATCAGAAATGGAGTCTTTACCTTCATACTTCAGGAGAGTCTAATACACTTTATGCATAGTTAGCATTGATAAAGTGTTCAGCTCAAATAACTGAACTTCTGTCCTTTGTGTATATTGGTGTCTATTTGGGCAGTATACACATAAACTGATTCTACTGCCCATCTACACACTTAATGTTTACAGTCCATGTTGAAAATATTACACAGGACGAATTTATATAAATGAAGATCCAATAACTTTCAAAATCCATTTTAATAAAAGTTATCATCTTAAATATTACAAAGCCACCAGAAAGCTTGTGGCTAAAATATGTGATCTTGCAAAAAAAGGTAGTTATTTGCCTCCATAAAACATCCAAAAAAGATGTTTTAGAAGTCACCCCACAGGGGAAAAAATTACAATTGCAAATATACAGGTTTCCAAAACAGGAACCTGCTCAAGATGTTGGCCATTAAACATCAGTTCTCCTCTCAAAAGGCAGTTTGCATATCTCAACAGTCAAACAATAGGCTCTTTTACAGATATGGTTTCTGGTTTTGAGTTTTGCGCTTTAATGAAATCTTTTGACATTCTACATGACTTGGAGGTTTAGGGAAGTCTAATAAACTATCAGACATATGCAGCTACCTAAAAGATTTAAGAGATGCAGAACAGTACAATACCGATTATTTTTTTTTAATTTGCTGTTATCATGTAACTTAGAAAAGCCAAACAGAGTTCTCACCTTTTAATTATTATTAACTAAACTAAATTACACAGACTTCCATGCTTGATACTGTTTCTTCCTCATTTTATTCTGTGTGAAGCCACTGGCAATAAATATAACTAACACTAGAAGACACACCTGGAAGTTTCAAAATCAGTTTCTGTATCAGAGGTTCCTTGCCCAGGTCAGTTCACTTGTAAATACTTGTTCCCCTTTGGTTAACAGAAATTCAGTCAGGCGTCATCACTTTGCTCCATTTTAATGTTCACAACAACCAACAACTGAACTTTTTTCTTTTCACACTGTTTTACAGATAATGAAACTGGACAGTTGGTAACTTTGTTACAAAGTCTGCGCTAATCAAAGGCTAAGTAACCTGTCAGGCAACTAGCAAAGAAGAGACCAAGTCTGGTCTAGAACTCAAGTTCTTGTCTTCATGCTATTTTGTCTTCCTGCAGTAGCCAAATCAAGTTTAGAAAAAGTACTCTTGTAAGTTTAGTGACATGGATGAAAGTAGCTGCCATGTCACGATTTTATTTAGATTATGGACTTAGAAAACCATGCTTAGCTGATACTCCATACGCTTGATGTAAAGACAGCTTATTTCATTTATGTTCTCGTCATACTGTCATTATTCAGCACACAAATAACGGAAGCAGTTCTGGAAACGCCTTTTGCATAGTGCCTGAAATTCCACAAAATTCCTAGCACACCAGAGTTTTTTCAGGTGACCTACATACAGCTCAATATGAACGGAATGTCGTCATGAAAGCGACTTACAAACAACTTAATATCAGTATCTAGACTTGATTTTGTATTTTCCTTTCAAACTACTGCCTAAATACTATGTAAACAGCCCATTCCAGTCTCTTTGTCTTTTTTTTATGAAGATCACGTAATTAACATTATCTTCCCTTTTTATTTTTTAAGCACTTCACGTATTCCTCTAACATTTCTGTATGGTTTTGCAGCAATTAAAACAAACCGATTAACTGTATTTCAAGTTACTTCCTTGGGGAGAAAAAAAATCAAAACAACAAAACACCAGTCCAGCACTGTTCTATCCTGAGACGTAGCAAAGAACTGCGCCAAACAAGTTAACAGGTGAGTGGAAAAACCATCTCTGCGGTGGCCTCCACATCTGCTTTTCCTTTCTCCAGACCCAAGGCCCCAGGAGACAGGCCACAGCGACCTTTCTGCCGCACCCGAGCTCAGTAGGCCTGGATCCTTCCACTCTCCCAGTCGGTCAAGGCCGAGACTCAGTTTAGGGGTACAGGACCCTGCTTAAACAAAGAGTTCCATCTGTTCCGAAATTTCCAACTTGCTGGGCGGAGAAGGCAAAATTGAGAAGACAGGAGGTTCTGCTCCAAAGCGAAGTTGGAGACCAGCCCCGTGAGGTCGGGATAAAGCAGGGTAACAGGCTATAAAACTAACTAAGTTAGGGGACAAAGGTGAACGGGCGGGGTGGTTAAGAGGCTCCACGTTCCCGGCTCTGCACAGCCCGCGGCCCTTCGGAGGGGCGCAAGGTCAAAGGGCGTCTGCGGGATGCGGCCAGCAGATTGGCTGGCGAGCAGCGCGCAGGCGCTCGCTGTGGGCCTCTTGCCGGCCTCATTCGGGCTGCGGGCCTTGAGTCCTGCCCCTACTCACCAAGGTCTGGGGAGCGATCCGCCACCAGCAGAGACTCGGCCGGCAGAGTGGTAGAAACTGGGGATGCACAGAAAGCAGACGGACACCGCCCCGCGAGCCCAGCCCGCCCCACCACCTCTAAGGCAAACGCAGGACGTGCCGGGAGATCGGAGGGGCGGGGCGGAGCCCGGCGAGTGGGCGGGGCGGAGCCCGGCGAGTGGGCGGGGCTCGGCCAGTGGGCGGGCCCGGGTTCTCCCAGCTCGAGACCCGAGAGTGGGGCCGGGAGGGGCAGGGCCAAAAGAGAGCGTTCCAGCAGTTCTGTGCTCGGGAGAATTTGTTTGGCTTTTTTTTTTCTTTATTGTTTCTTTATTGTTATTTCTCTGGATATTCTATAGGTAATCATATTTTGTAAATAGGAATAATTGTTCCCTTCTTTCTCACTTTTTAAACCACTTATCCATTTTTCATTTTTCTCTTACTTATTAACATAGTATCCAGTCCCAAGTTTAGTGAAAGTAAGGATAGCATTCTTACCTTGTTCCTGACTTGGCTGCACTACTGCTGAAGTCTTACTATGAATTTCAATGTTTGCTGTGAGGTTTTGGTAGATACTTCATCAAGATTATTACATGTTCTATTTCCAATTCCTAATCTTTGTTTCTCAGCTAGAGGGACTGTTTAATTGATTAAATGTTTTTCTGTGACTGTTTAATTGATTAAATGTTTTTCTGTATCTATTGAGATAATCATTTTTTCCTATTCTAATATGTTTATGGGAATTAATAATCATTTTCTGATGTTGAATGAGAGGTGAGGATTTTATTTTATAGGTATGTTAATGCGGCCAGGTTGGACTCCAGTTCTCTTTGTACAACTGGAGAGGGCTCACCCATCTCTTAGAAACTGTTTTTTTGTTTGTTTGTTTGTTTTGTTTTGTTTTGTTTTTAAGACTCAGATGGAAAGCTCTAATAAAGGAAAAGATTTTTGGATTTTGGATTTTGTTTTTAACGTGAGACGTTCAAAAGTTGCTTATAAATCCGGCACACTGGTCGTTTTCAAACTTTAAGTTGAGAAAAAACAATTTTTTTAATGGAACTTTACTTGGAAGCCCAAGGTAGAGAGATAAAGATGACATTTTTAGTTTGCAAATGTATGTAGAAAATCACATTTTTACTGAAGTACTTAATATAAATGATGGAGAATAAATCAAGTGTCAAGAAGAACTTTTGAAATAAGAGTTGCAGCAGAAGGGACCCTCTTACGTCAGCCTTAGAATCAGAGGAATTCTGGGTTTTGTTTGGTTACATAGAAGTAAGGAAGTCCTGACAGGCTAGAGGTTGCTGATGTGAACAATTGTGTAAGAGCTCTCAAAATTTCATTGGATGTTTACACTAATTTTAATTGGGAACCATACATAGATGAAGATATCCTATATGTGCATATTTTAAAGAGTATTAATAAAAATACCCAGGTACCCACTGCAGAGCTTAAGAAATAGAAATATACTGGTATTTATTAAGCCTTCTAGGAAGGGCTCTCCAAAATCACCTCTTTCCTTCCCTTCTCCAGGCAGCTGGATTTTGGTATTACTCATTCCCTGGCTTTTTGGAAATAGTTATACTTACGTTTATGTACAGTAACCTAAAAATACACTATTTGTAGCTTTACATGGTATATATGTGAATCATACTCCATTTCCCTCCCTTTAACTTCCTTTTTTACTACTCATTCAGGTTTTGAGATTCCTCTTTATACGAATCTGTTTCGCATCAACTTGTCTGGCACATCATTCTCTGTTAACATCTGCTATGGTCAGAATTTTAAAATTTTTGCCTAGATATAGTATCTTATTGCACATTTCTTTTGTAATTCCCCTTTGTTAATGAAAAATGCATCTTTTTAAATGTTCGTGCTCTTGAGAATTATGTGAAATGCCTATTCTCAATTTTGACTCATTTTTTATTGGATTGTTTGCTTTTGAAAATTATTTTGTAAATAATATTTTTATGGTTTAAATTCTCTCTCTTGTCAGTTACACGTGTTGCAGAGATCGTCCCTTACATTTTGGATTGTCTTTTCTGTTTTTACCGTGTCTTTTGATGATTAAAAGCTTAATACTTTAAGATACAGGTCATTAAATTTAGTACTATTTTACATTATAATTTAATGCTTTTTGCATTCCTACTTACAAGATTCTTCCCAACCTAAAAATGTAAACTATTCTCTTTTATTTTCTTCTATAAGTTTTAAAGTTTAAGTATGAAATATTGTAGATACACAAAAAGACCAATAATAATGAACACCCATGCCATTGACTGTAGGCAGTCAGACATTTTGCAAGCCCCTCCCTCATTATTATTCTCTAAAATTGTGTTGATTCTTGGATTTTCACTCTTTCATATAAATTTTAGGATAAGCCGGCCAAGATCCATTAAAAAAAATAAAATTGGAGTTTTGATTGGGTTTTGAATCAATTTGAAAATGGAATTTATACAGTATTTTAAGAAAATGTGTACTTTTCATTGAACATGGTCTATTTATCTATTTATTCTGACCTTTTATGTTCTGCAATAGTTAGTAATTCCATTTATAAAAATTTTGAACATTTTTCATTATATAAACTAATTTTACCAAAATTAAAGGTAGCTTTCTTTAAATTATATTTTCATATTGGTTATTAGTAGTATATAAAAAGAGTATATATTTTTATATATTGGTCTCATCTCCAGTTACTTTGGAGAATTTATTTGGGTTTTTTTTGTTTTTGTTTTGTTTTTTTTTTTTGCTTTACTGTTTGTTATTTCTCTGAATGTTCTATATAGGTAATCATATTTTAACATAGGAATAATTTAATTGTTCCCTTCTTTCTCACTTTTTAAACCACGTATTCATTTTTCATTTTTCTCTTATTAATATAATATCCAGTCCCATGTTTAGTGAAAGTAAGGATAGCATTCTTACCTTGTTCTTGACTTTACTACACTACTGCTGAAGTCTTACTATGAATTGCAATATTTGCTGTGAGGTTTTGGTAGATACTTTATTTCCAATTCCTAGTCTTTGTTTCTTAGCTAGAGTGACTGTTTAATTGATTAAATGTTTTTCTGTATCTATTGAGATAATCATTTTTCCTATACTAATATGTTATGGGAATTAATAATCATTTTCTGATGTTGAATGAGAGGTGGGGATTTTATTTTATAAATATGTTAATTAATGCCCACCTGCTTAAAAACTGGGTATTTTATTACTGCTAGAGTAAATCAATTAGGGTAAGTAGATTCTTACCACATCACCCTCTGTGTCTGTCAGACTGTTGCGCAATAATGTTTCTAAACTGGACTGGGGTTGCCACTAATGCCCCATTTTGTAACTGACTGCTCTCTGCCTGTCCCCTGCTATTGGCAAAAATGTTGAGATGGCGTTGAGGAAGACAGCATTGCTGATATTCTTTCATTTTCTTCCCACATCACCTTTTTCCCAAAGTTTTTTTTTGACAGAGTATGTTCTTTTTTTTTCTTCTACTTCTCTGGAAGGTAGGCAGACAATGCTGAATCTTGACAATTTTTTCACATGTGAGATGGCCATAATTACTGCTCAGTCCAGTTTTCTGTTTCTCATATATGTATTTTTAAATAGTTTCTGAATGAAAAAGTGTAGAATTTGGTAGCTTTATAAGGATTGAAAATGTCTCCAAGATAAATGAGTAAATTATTAGTTAATACTTACAGTAAAAGTCCATTTACATAAATTACAAATATGTGCAAATATAGTCCTCTAAAATATCTAAAGGAATATCTTCATTGTTATTTATAGTGATACAAGGGAAGAGGAATAAAGGAGGATTTTCTTTTTCATTTTAACACTGTAGTGTTTCTTTTCTTTTTTTCTATAATTATACACACATATTTGTGTATTTTTAATTTAAAGTATAGCACTGGAGAAATATGCCATTCATCTAATAGATGGGTTCCTGGAAAGAAAAAGAGCTTATGTACATTGATTTTATGTAGTAAATAGACATTTTGAACATGTGACATCAAGGGGTGATCAGTCACTGAAAGTCCAAGGAAAAAATGAACCAAAAAGGGAAGAATGGAGGGAAAAAACCACAAATTTTTCTCATGGCATTCTTGTCAAGAACAGTTCTAATATAGTAAACAAATAGTGTCCTTTGTTTTCTCCTAATTATCATTTATTAATAAAATACCCCACCTCACAGAATCCTTGAGGTTAATCTTATCTTTCTGCTGGAAAAGCAGCATGTATTTTTCTTCTGAAATTAGCAATGAATATCCTTCCCCTTATTTGGCAGACCCAGGCAAGCATTTATACGTGCAGACACCTTTCTCTTGTTTGTTTCATTACATGTCACAATCTCCTGGCTATTTCATGTCTTGAGCCCTACACGTTTCATTAGAAGTTTGAAGACATTCTGCTATTTTATAGTTTGGTTATTTCTTCACTTAACTAGGATAAATCAGTTTCTGTCGGTATCATCTCCACTGGCATTCTTCAGAATTATTTTGTGTAAACAATAGAAACTGAATCTGGCAAATCTAAATGTAAGTAGGCTGTGTGGAAAGTTGTAGGATAGAGTGCTGCGTGAAAGTGAAGGCCAGTGGACTTGGCAAAGGCAATACATAGGAACCAGAGGGGCTAGGAAACTGGGAACGCTGACTCCTTGACCCCTTCAATGGTGCAGACGAGGACCCAGCTGCTTTCCAAGCTGCACTAAGCTCTCACTGCTGTTGACATCACCATGAAGAACTTCACTACTCTGCCCAAGACAGCAGAAAATTCACGTCTGTGTGAATGGTGGCGTTAGATCTAATCACCAATGACTAGGTGTGGCCCATTTCTCTTGCCGGACTGTGTACCATTCGTAGGCGCGGTGGCAGCCGCAGCAGAAAACGTGCGTGCGGACAGTGGAAAGCCGCATTCTGGCGAAGTGCAGCGCTTCCTGACTCTGCAGGTTGATGCCGAGCCGCTCAGTGTTCTGAAGGAAGGTCCAGGTTTCATAATTGAACGTTAGTGTTATATCGTCATTGGGCACAATTCAAATATTACACCACTCAAAGTCCAAGTTTTATTATATTGTATTTATTTATTCATAGACAGAGTCT